TGGACCCCGAAAGCTCATTCGCAGTCAAACGTGTTAGTCTTTCGAGGTGCCAAAAACCGCGTGTGATGTTGTTACTGCTGCTTTAAAGGTTTCAGCTCGGGGATCGCGGCAGCCTTTAACTCGCCTAAGGTTGCGCAAGAGTTAATAGGTTTTTTGAGAACAGAAGCCCGGACCTTTCCCCACGGTAGAAGTCCGAACCCCACCCCACTCCGCCCCCGCTTCTTCCCCCTTCGAAAGTGCAACGTAATGACCGTTAACTTGCCACCCCCACCGCCCCAGTCCCTTCGTATTCGGCTGTTAATTTCTTGACCTTCTTCCAAGATGTCTTTAATGATCCCTTTCACTCTCTGACCACTGGAGAATCCCGCCCCCCCCCCCGCAGCCTCGGGATTGACGGCTGCGGAGATAATAAAGGTTTCCTGTGTTAATTAACGGTGCTCAGACCACCGTATCTCGTTATTTGGCGGACAGTGAACTTGGCGCAGGAGCTGGCAGGGTTCATTCATCCGGGCGGTAGGTCACTGGCAGGTCAGCGCATGGGAACGCGCAAGTGCCCCGGGGTTAGGCCACTGTTCGCGGAGCCGCAGACGCACCACCGGACGGGCATCCGCCCCCATTAGGCGCACACGCACGAGGAGGATGCAGGTCCACCCCCCCCCCCAAGCTCGCCAGGGCCCTGGGCTTATATAGGTCAGGCGAGGAGGGAACACAGTGAGCCTTAAAAAAAAATCTACTAAAAACAAAAGCCAACCGTGGGGGAAAGAACGACACAGGCCAGGAGTCCGTCCTCGCCTCTTCCCCTCCAACATAATTAATATAATCAGCTCCCATTCCGGCAGGGCTTGTTGACTGGGGGGTCGGGAAGGAAGGAGCCAGGAGGAGCCGGAGGATCGGGACCGACTTCAGCTGCCCTCGAACTGAACAACGCACTTTTGTTAACCCCTAGCCAGATTATAATTACGTATAATCATTTGAGTAAGAGACTTGGCCAGTGTTAATGACAGGCTGGGATGACACGCAGCTTGCAGAGAGAAAGGACCCGAGTCTCCCCACGCGCACCGATTCTCGATTCCGAGAAGAGGGGCTTGCCTCGTCCTTTTCGCACGGCACGCCAAGAATGCTCGGGTGCGTGTGAACGTTGTTTATGCGACTTCTCGGGCGCTGCGTTTCCTTCGGCTCCCTGAAAAGAGGACCAAGCTTTTGAGGAGACACGTGTACGATTGCCCCGCTGTGTATGTGGCTTGCTGCAACTCCTGCAAAAGATCCTGGGCTCGGTGGGCTCGGTCCCATTTTATGCTCCTCAGCCAGAGAACAAAACGAGGAGCAAAACGCTTCTCCCGGCCTGGCCCATATTACATCCTCACCACAACCCTGTGAGGTAGGCAACAGTTTCGTGGCTGAGTGACATTTGAACATGCTTCTTCCCAGCTGCACTCTGGCAATGTGCCCGCCCCACCAGACTCACTCCCCAGGATAATGAAATCTGCACACTTAGCCACAAATAGGTGGATCATTCCCTGCAGAGCAGACTTATTGCTGTCCACGAATTTACTCCAGAGCGACTTGCTCCAAGGGTGCATCCCGATTCTCAAAGTGTAACACTTTCTCCCGTAGTGGTTTGATTTTTCTCTCTCCACTCTTAACTCCAGGAGGAATGGAAAGAATTCCAGTTAGACACTTCCACTGCCCTGCGCCTTCCGACCGTCCCCAATAAACCCCTGCATTTTTCTAGGTTCACCCGTGTCCCTTCAGCTCAAAGGGATTTCCCTGTAGACCAGCCGCATAATCAGAATGTACGACATAAATCTATGATCAGCTGCAAAAAAGACAGCAAGCAAGCGCTGGCTGCTCAAGGCGCTTCTTGAATTCCCTCGCCTTGCAGTGGAACTGAGTGCCCTAGTGCATTTACTCGAGTCCTACACGAATCCCACCTTGGGAGAATTCTCCTTGGGAGAAAAAATGCGGCACCTAGGCCGCATTTCCCCTAGAATAGCCGCAGGACGATCCCGGTGGCGACTCTGTGAGCAGCGGGACCACCTCCCTGACCCTTCTTCTTTAGCTCCCGGGCTACGCAAGTGCTATGCGTGTCTGCAGCGCTTGGCGAACACCCAGCGCCCTCTGGCACGAAAGGGAAATTTCGGCCTGGCTTGGGAAGCCTCTTGGAGAGGGAAAGAAAGGCGGCAGCGGGGCCGTTCCGAGGGTCCCCAGAGAAGCGGAATCTTCTGGTCTGGTAACCCCACTAAAACTTTTTGTTGTTTAGTCGTTTAGTCGTGTCCGCCTCTTCGTGACCCCATGGACCAGAGCACGCCAGGCACTCCTGTCTTCCACTGCCTCCCGCAGTTTGGTCAGACTCATGCTGGTAGCTTCGAGAACACTGTCCAATCATCTCGTCCTCTGTCGTCCCCTTCTCCTTGTGCCCTCCATCTTTCCCAACATCAGGGTCTTTTCCAGGGAGACTTCTCTTCTCATGTGGTGGCCAAAGTATTGGAACATTATTATTATTATTATTATTATTATTATTTGCTAAGCGAGGAACACCCCCGCTCCCTCCCCGCCAGTGTGCTCCCAAGCACGATCTGCTGGAGAAACCAATGAATGGAAGATGTCCGCAGGTCACCTCTGACGCATAGTCTTACGGGGGTAACAACGCAAATATTCGGGGTATGTCTCAGTGGGGAAGTAAAATGGGGGCGGGGAGTCGACGTCGCAGCCTTGGCCAAGCAGCGAGAGAGCTTTTTTCTTTCCTTGCCCCTCAGCGATGTCACTGCCCCCATTGGAGCCCACGGGTCGTACTTCCGAGTAGGCAAGGGTGGTTTGTGTAAACAGGTGCCTGTCGCCCTCGGCTGGCCTCTTTCCAGGGATCAGGCTGCGGTAGCTACCAAGTTGAACCCAAGGCTAGGGCGCAAAGGTTTCGAGTTGGGCCTTTAAATCGTAGTTCTTCGCCGGAGTAGGCAGGGGGTGATCCTAAAGGCCAGGCGAACCCCACCCCACGCCATTCTCGGCAGATCGGATAAAAGAGGCTTTACTCCCCCAAGTCAGTAGGCCGTGAGGATTGTGGAGCTCGGGGTCAGAGTCTATAAAACGGCCTTTGGGGTTCAGAGGTGCCTGGAGTACGGGGGGTTCGGGGTACATAATGATAATAATAATAATAATAATTATTTTGCTGCGCCCACCAGAGTGGTTCCGCAGCCACTTTGCGCGGCTCCTACACCTGCACCTTTCTCTGCCCGAGGCTTTCTTTCGTGTGCGGGGCAGCAGTGGGGAATGGGGTTTATTTCCCTTCCAGGAGAAAGTAGCGCAAGGCAAGTGCACTCAAGCCCCGTAGCACCCAGAGGGACTTTGGGAACCGGAACTGGGCGCAGCTTTGCGCCCGATGCACGCGCTGGCCGCCTCTTGTCCAACCCTCGCTTCCTTCCGTTCCAACTTCTCTGGCTGGCCCCAGAGAAACCGACTTGACATTTCTGCAGATTCGGGGTCAAGATGGCTGCGGAGTGAAGCCTGATTCGCCCTCCCCCGCCACGCAGGTCTGGAGAGAATCCGAGTTCACACCTTCTCCGCCCGCCCTCGCAGATCCGGCTGCCCCCCCCCCCCCGAGGCGACTCTGTGTGTTTATCTTTCGCCCCAACAACCTCCCTTTCCCTCGCTGACCTGCGTTTGAACCTACGATTCGCCCCGCGCCATCAGCTTGGAGAATTTACTCCGTCTTCTCGCTGCTGCTGCGGATTCCTCCTCTCAGGTCCCTTGAACGTAAATATCCAACCCCTGTCGGTGGGGTGAACTGCAGGCCAAGGACTAATTTTAGAGAAAGCGGCCAGGGCTCGGCCATTCTTCCCCGGGCCGCTGACATCATTTATGGTTTCGAGCCTCGGAAACATCCCGCGCTCCCTTTGCAAGGCAGCGGCTGCTGCGGAGGCAACGCTCGCGCGGAGCTGGAGAGCCGCGGATTGGGGGCAGGCCCAGGGCTTTCCCACCCTAAATCTTCACGGCCCTTCCAGCCAAAGGGGGCAGAGAGAAGCCGGAGCTACAGTGGTTCAGCAACCGGATCGGTTCCTTGTAGTGGGGGGCTCTCCCCGCGCCCCCAAAACCCACCCCCAATGCTTGGCCGCAGAAATTTGTTTCAACCTTAATGTACGGTTCGGGGACGTTATTACTCGGTTGATGGTCTGCGGCCCAGCCTAACCTCTCTTACCTGCGAGTAAGGGCCGCTGAATGCAGTCAGCAGTCCAGGGTCAGGTTTGCGTTCTTATTTTCTTTACAGGCCAAGAGTGCGCTGGGCATTTTATAGAGTATTACGGTTTCTGCCCCGAGGATTTTACAATCTAAAATTCCACCCAGGGGGAGATAGGACTATCTTTGTGAGAAACACGAAGAAAAGAGCACCTCTGGGCATGTACAGAGGGGCACTTAAGTCACCGCAACTCCAGCCTCCTCACTATAGAAGGTTCCACCTCCAAACTGGACCCCCCTCATTTGAAGAAGAAATGTGCTCAAGCGATCCTTTAGGAGAAAGGCAATGCTTCTGTTCTGTTAGGAGCCCAGCTAAAAGAGCGCAAAGAAGTTCGCAAGCTTTGCTGTTCCACAGCGTTCTTCTCCTGCTTGGATGCTAGCAAAAGCAAACAAAACAAAGGGTGGGTACCAGCGGTAGTGTGCACTGCGCAGGGTCAAATAGATGATCCCAGGGTCCCCCAAAGTCTTTGAAAAAATCAAGGGCCAACTCTGTTATTGGATGAGCGGCAGGCAGAAATTTCACAGGTCGAGCTCCCTATCACTGTATTTCTGTTTCAGAGGCAGATTAGAGAACTGACAACCTAATCCGATGACTCCTTATTCAGAAATAAGTCCCCCAGTACTGTACTCAGTTGTGGTGTGTGTGGCTACTTTGAGGTAAGCGTTTGCAAGGTTGTAGCCTAAATTTATGTATCTCCTGCAACACACTAACTGGCTGCCTGGAGAGGCAGCAAAATTAAGAAGCTAGAAAGTAATTCCACCCACCGAACCAATTGCTTACACAATTAAATTCCATGGAGCTTTCTAGTTATTTGAGAGAAAGCTTTCTATATACAGTATTTGAGAGAAAGCTCCATGGAATTTAATTGTGTAAGCAATTGGTTCGGTGGGAGGAATTGCTAACAGAGGGTTAGATCCTCATGGCTCGATCCAATGCATCTTTGCACAGCAGAAAGTCCAACTTTCCCTCGAGTAAGTGCATAAGACTTCTGTCCCAGGCTGCTGTGGCCAGGATACTGACCGAAGTTTCAGTGAAGTCAATGGAAGTTGTAGGGTGCAGGTCGCGCGTGAAATCCAGGTAGGCACCTTGACTTAACTCCAGTGCGGATCAGCAAGTGCTGAGACTATGGAAGGCCTCTAGAACAAGGAAGTATTTTTTTAAAAGAGAGGAACAGCTGGTATCTAAGGTGGGTGCCTGCTGCCCACTGATGGAAAAAAGAGTTGATTTTGCCCTGGTACGCACGACTTTCTCTCCACGTTGCTCACGGTGTGACCTTGGGACGGTCTCTCAAACAGCAGCACCCTCAGGTCAAACCCGGGGATGTGTTTGTGTGACCGAGAGATTTTTGGCAGGGAACCAGCGTTGGGCCAGTCGGGATCGCTTCTTGCTGCCTGATCCAGATCTGGCCTCCCTCTCTAGTTGTTTTGAAAGCGGGTTTAAGGTAACCTGCCCTTTCCGCCAGATCTACACCGCAGGATTGTTCGGAGAACAAGAGGAGAAGCGAACTGCTTGAGTGTGCGGCATAAAGATATAGCAACAAATCTTTACAAATTAATAAATCCTAGAGAAACAGAAGTTGGCTGTGGTTGCACCGTCGTAATGAGGAAGCGCCATTTGTCTAGGAATACAAAGCGGTGCCTTAGTACAGAAACCGGATTATTTGTCCGAGTGCGGATTGGTGTTTTTTGCAGGGTGGGCAACTTCAAAGTCTTTATGAATTTACTAGCGGGGGGGACGGGGACTGCAGGGTCACAGCACCGTTTGCGAAGTGGGGCAGCGCTTTAACTATCCGGGAAAGCCCGATCCTACGCGTGTTTACTCCTGCAGTAAAACAAGGAGCAGATAAAGTCCCTCTCTGGGAAGCAGACCTCATGGTTTACTCCGAAGTAAAGATCGAAGCCAGGCTCCCAAACCATGGAAACGAAGAGAACTACTAGACAAGGCACAGGGGGGAGGGGGTTATCGGTTCATTTTTAATTATGCTTTTATGATGTATCTCTCTCTTGTGAACCGCCCTGCGATCTACGGATGAAGGGCGGTATTTTAAAAAATAGTAAATAAATGACACAGGATTGGAGCCCAAGCTTAAAGGCACGGGAGGGAGGAGGAGACTCTTAAATGTATTGCAAAGCATCGCCGTTGATTGGAGTTGGGAGCACGTCTGAAATGGCTCTTGGATGCACGCGACTGACTTGCCTTAGGTTGAGTCGCCGGGCCTGTTTTTGCGATGCAGTCCTAAACTATGGAGTGGCGCTTACATCTGCGCAAGTGCGCGCAGGATCTAGCGCAACGTGTGGCATGCTCACTTCGAAGCGGTGGGTGCGCCGCTGACCGACCAACCAGTTCCACAGGGCTTCCTTCCTTCCTAAAGTGTTGAGCTCCATCACCCGATGATCCGAAGAGGCATTAGGAGCAACTCACTAACCCTGCTCTTTTCAATGGCCTGAGCGCAACCAACTCGGACCAGAGCAGAGCAACCCAACTGTGTACGCCTACTCTAGACGGCAGCCTCGTTGCGCGCCTAAGTGTCCACAAACGCTTCCACAGTAGGGCAGGGTCCTTCCTGCTGGCAGCCCCGGAGCACTTGGCTGCCTTTACAGGAGAGTAGACCTTATTGGGAACCCAGCGAAGGTCTCCTTCTGAGCCACTGCGCCTAGGTTCGGCCTAGACGGCTGGTTGACACCTGCCTTTCCCAGTCAAGCTGCTTGCTTGGCTTGGCTTGGAGGACATCTGCGGAGGGAGGAGAGGCGCTCAGCATCCGCTTTGCAACTGCGGCTGGCTCCCAAGTGCTTTCTGCAGAGCGCAGGAGAGAGGCGGAGACCGGGAAGGCGCAAAGCCCGCCCAAGGCAGGCAGAGTGCATCGACGGGGCGGAGCCTGCCGGGCCCGAGGGGCAATTAAGGATGAACTTTCGGTGAACTAATTGATCGCACGGCCCAAGGTAAAGTGGGCAGCGACCTGGGCCGAGGATGCCTATAAAAGGGGGCCCCCGCCGCGGCGCTGGGCCCTTGCGCTCACTCGCCAGCCCCCGGGGGAAGTCTGCCAGCCTGCCCGCCCGCCTGACGGCAGGTGCCCGCCCCGCTCGCTGCAGCCCGGCCCCGGCGGCCAGCATGGGTTTCTCTGCCTTGCTGCCCAGCGCTGTGCTCACCTTCGTGCTGCTGCCGCTGCTCCTCTTCCTGGCCGCAGTGAAGCTGTGGGACTTGTACTGCCTGCGCGGCCGCGATCCCAGCTGCCCACTGCCCCTGCCCCCGGGCACCATGGGGCTGCCCTTTTTCGGGGAGACGCTGCAGTTAGTGTTGCAGGTGAGGAGAAGGAAGAGGGACGACGGGGGAGAGAAAAACAAACAAACCAAACAGGTGCCTTTGGGCTCCCCAGCTTGATCCACCCCTCTTCTTTTCGCTCTCTTTTTGCAGCGGCGGAAATTCCTGCAGCTGAAGCGGCGCAAGTACGGCTACATCTACAAGACGCACCTCTTCGGGCGGCCCACGGTGCGCGTGATGGGGGTGGACAACGTGCGCCACATCCTGCTTGGAGAGCACCGGCTGGTGGCAGTGCAGTGGCCGGCGTCGGTGCGCACCATCCTGGGCGCCGGCTGCCTCTCCAACCTCCACGACGGGCAGCACAAGCACCGCAAGAAGGCAAGCGGGGAGCGGCTCTGCCGGACGAAGGAGGCACCGCCGTAGCTCCGGGGCGGGGGGGGGGCAGCTCTCTGAAAGGCACGCCAGCCTCGGTGGGGCCGGAGGGAGAAGGGCTTCGTGTAGCGGGTTGGGGTGGCTCCGAGCCCGCGGGTGAGGGAAGTTGTGGAGCCGTTAGGTGACTTTTGATTCTGGACTTCTGAAGATTCCTTTCCTTTCTTAGCCGGCAGTGTAGTGGGGACCTCTTTCTGCTCATTTTGCGGACTGGGGGCCTGGACTTCTGCCCCCGATGGCGCCATTGGGGGCGGGGGGGGGATCTGCTCCAGAAGTATGCCGTCGGCTCTTGGAGAGGGCGCCGATTTTCACTGAAATGAGAGAGCCCCCAAATTCTAGATTTCAGCCTCAATTTGGAATCTTAAGAATTCCACGCAGGTCTGTGGAACGCGCTTCTTCCTAGTAGCAACTCAATCCCAGGCACGTATACTCAGAAGTCACACTGATTGCACGTCGGGCTCTTCCCTGGCAGGACTGCAGTCGAAGCGTGTTCAGGGATTGCAAGCCCGCGCGCGTTTCTCTGCCTGCCTGCTTCCTGGAAGAAACCCCCGACGTGTTCGGTGATGGGCTTTTATTTCTGCGTAAACACAGGTCGGCTCTGGCTTTCTCAGGAAGAGTTCTAAGGGAAAGAGGACGAGGTTAGAAGGCCAGGGTGCTAAAAACACATCTGGGGGAAAGTCCGTTCCAATAAAAGCGACTCCCATAAAACGAATGGCGCCTTCCATAAATAGCCTCGAGAAGTAAAAGGGAGCAATCGAGAGACCATAAAAAGAGGTCTTGGCGCCCCGGCCTTCCACACCACGCGGCGAAGTCTCCTTGATTTCAAAGGTGCTTTCTTCCCTTTCAAGTCGCGGGGCGCAGGAGTGCCAAAATGCGAACCGACATTTGGAGGAAACGGCACTGTTGACGCCCACCCTCCAACTCCCCAGTCCTTCTCCGAAGGTTTTCTTTTGGAAAGGCGCCTCCTAACTCAAAACCGCGAAACAACAGTTTTCTGTCGTCTCTGCTTTGAACTGGGGACTTTTGGAGCCTCGATCCGCCCCGTCGAGTTCGGTGGGATTTACTCTGATGTCCAGCCATCTGCTTGCAGCCTTAATCGCCGAGTTTAGCGCCTGGAACCTGTTTGCATTTGGGTCGACTCCTGAGCAGACTTACTTGGACGCAAGTGCCTTTCAAATCGGGGGTACGAGGCTGGCTCTCCGCGCCCCTGGTCTTGGCTTGCAGCAAGGCAGAAACAACCCCCTGGATTCGAATCCACGGCCTTGCCAAACGCGCCACCAAAGTTTTTAACCGCGGGCGCGCAGACCTCTTTTTAAAAAAACCTCGCCATTTTTTGTGGGAGGACCCACTTGGCAAGCAGAAGAGCGCAGGACGAAGCGCTGCGGCTTTCCGCCAGACTTGGAGCACTTGTTTAGCTTTGCGGGCTGTTTTTTTCTTTAAAAAAAGTTCCTCCCCTCCGAAGGTCCCCTTAAAAGTAACCGCCTCTCCTTCCGCCGCAGGTAATCATGCGCGCTTTCTCCCGGGAGGCCCTGCAGCACTACATGCCGGTCATCCAGGAAGAGGTGAGCGCCTGCCTGCGCCAATGGCTCCTGGTGAGCGGCGGCGGCTCTTGCCTGCTGGTTTACCCGGAGGTGAAACGCCTCATGTTCCGCATCGCCATGCGCATCCTACTGGGCTTCCGGCCCAGCCCGACGGCGGGCTCGGACGGCGAGCAGCACCTCATGGAGGCATTCGAGGAGATGATCCGCAACCTCTTCTCGCTGCCCATCGACTTGCCTTTCAGCGGCCTCTACAAGGTAAAGGGTGGTCTGAGAGGTTGTGGGGGAGGGAGGTGGGAGGTGGCCCGAGGGGGACCCCCTGCCCGGACATGGCAAGCGGCGCTCAGGAGAGGGGAGCCTGCCTCTCTGAAGGGATCCGCTCTTGCTTCCAGGGCTTGAGGGCGCGCGATGTCATCCACGCCAAGATCGAGGAGAGCATCCAGGCGAAGCTGGCCGGGAAGGAGCCCCCCGACGGCTACAAGGACGCGCTGCAGTTGCTGATGGAGCACACGCAGGGCAACGGGGAGCAGCTCAACATGCAGGTGGGGAGAGGTCCCAAGGCGCTGGGATCCTGACCGGGCTCTCTCTCTCTCTCTCTCTCTCTCTCTCTCTCTCTCTCTCTCTCAGCTTTGGGGGCCGGGGATTCCAGTGCTGGAGCTGGTCTAGTAGCCACCAGGGACTCTAGGATGCCCCCGAGTCAATAGCACCTGCTTTTTCGAAGTTAGGGTTGCCAGGCTGGGTTTTTAAAGACTGCATAGCAGGCAGAAAGTCACCAGGTGCAGCCTTTCCTGGTCAGGCAGATTCAGTTGCAGAGAAAGCACTATCGGCATTTCCTCCATTCAAATGATGGAGTTAAATATGGTTCCCACCCCCACCACTTTGTAAAGGGGCTGGAAATATCTGTCTAATGAGGGTAGGTGACCTGTTTAGAGCATTCAGGGTTTCTGTGTGTAGTGACAGGATGGACTAAACTCAACAATTCTTCCTTTGCTGTTAGAGCTCCATGTCTGAGAAAGGCTTTCTGCCTGTCTGTGCAGCATTAAAATAGGTTCCTTTGAGAAGAAATTGTATTGGTGTATGTGTGTGTGTGTGTGTGTGTGTGTGCGCGCGCAAGGCCATCGTGCTCCTCATTCAGAGAACCCCCCACCAGCAGACTTTGATGCCCTTTGTTCCCACTTTATGCTCATTTTAGAAAGCATCCTTTCCCCAGGATCATTCAAAACACTGATTTTAAAATATAGTTCTCATTGACATACTTCAATTTTTTTTCTGCAGGGGTGTTTTATTATTTACTGTGCGGCATGTTGTGATGGGTGGTGCTGGGACGTGGGTGGTGCTGTGGTCTAAACCACTGAGCCTAGGGCTTACTGATCGGAAGGTCAGCGGTTCGAATCCCCGCAGCAGGGTGAGCTCCCATTGCTCGGTTCTTGCTCCTGCCCACCCAGCAGTCCGAAAGCATGTCAAAGTGCAAGTAGATAAATAGGTACCACTCCGGCGGGAAGGTAAACGGCATTTCCGGGCGCTGCTCTGGTTTCGCCAGAAGCGGCTTAGTCATGATGACCACATGACCTGGAAAAACTGTCTGCGGACAAACGTCGGCTTCCTTGGCCAGTAAAGCGAGATGAATGCCGCAACCGAGACTGGACTTAACTGTCAGGGGTCCTTTACCTTTACCTTTTATGTTGTCATAAAAAGCAGTGGGCTGGCCTTCTCAGGTGGTGACCTGCCTGGATGTTTGGCATCCCATTCAGGGTTTTGGTTTTTTTAATTAAACAAACACACCTTTCTTTGAATTGAAGTAATGTTCATTCATTGGACTCTAGGGGTATATATATTCCTGTACATGTCTGTTCAGAAATAAGTGCCATTGAGCTTACAGGTAAGGGTGACACCTATTAGGACAACTCCACCTTAGTTGATTGCATGGGTTTTAATTGGCTGCTTTTAAAGCTGCATGCATGTTCTGTAGGAACAAGGCATAGTGCTAAAGGGAAAATTGAATTCTTTGAGAGCTAGTGTGGTTGTAGTGGTTACAAGTGTTGGACTCTGAGTGAGAGAGCTTTGAATCTCCACCCAGCCATGAAGCCGCTTGAGAGCGACTTTGGGTCAGTCTCTTTCTCAGCCTATCCTACAGGGTCGCTGGGACAATAAAATGGTGAGGAGGAGTGGTCAGTGTTCTCTGGCTTCAGCACATGGGGGGGCCGCTGGAATATTATAATAGTGGTGGCGGTGATGATGACTAATTTGTTTTAGTTGATGTCCTCTTGTTGCAACAGGCAATAACTTGGGTCCCTCTGAAATCAATGTGAAAATGCTAGTTGCATCCTAGTGACATGTTTTTGTATATGCTGGAAGCTGCCCAGAGTGGCTGGGGTAACCCAGTCAGATGGGCAGGGTACAAATAATAAAATTGTTATTATTACTATTAGTAGTAGTAATAGTAATAGTAGTAGTAGTATTAAACAACTGGCTGATCAATGAATTGCTATGGTCCTCAAGTTCTCAGAAGGATCTCAGTGCTCAGTCTGTAGGAAGTGGGCACAACTGGAGCTGCTCTCCAATTTTCTTAGCTACCCTGCCCTTCTCCCAAAACTTCTTAGTCTTTAGTTTTTAGTCTTTTTAGACTACACACAGAAGGATGCATAATATACCTTTGTCCCATGAAATCACTATGTGCGGAAAACTGGGTTAGAACCCATCACCTGGACATCCAAGCTTTCAAAACGGCAGAGTTTTTATGTTTGGCATGGAGGAATATTCAGCATGTGACTATGCCCATGTAGTCACAAGTGGAGCAGCCCAGCCATGGGACTGGTTCACACTTGGGTGCTAAACCTATGGCAGCTTTGTTCTCTTAATTCACAGCAGGGTTTGAGACCCGCACTGCGCTCCACTCTTGCTTATTTATTTAGCCCATTTATATCCTGCTCTACACCTGGGTGGGTCAATGAGAACATTCCTCAACACCAAACCAATTCCTAAAGCATGCAACACAAAAAATCATGCAATAGGAGCAGCAGTTAGGGAGCAATCTGAAATGATAGTGGCAGTGTCACCTAGAGGGCTGGGTCAGATAAGTGTTAACCTGACATCTAACTACCAGCCATTTTCTCTTGCATGTTTCTTAACTCCTGGAAAGTGCTTGCTTCTACTGTCTCTTACAACCACACTCTTGTCTTGACTCTGCAGTACATGAATGAGGAACCTGTGGCCCTCCAGATGTTGGTGGACATCCCATCATTATTGACTATTGGCTGTGCTGACTAGGACTGATGGGAAGTTAAGCCCAGGAACATCTGGAGGACCAAAAGTTCCCCATCCCTGCCTTACAACCTGACTTCTCTCTCCTCTCCTCTGCAATGGACTTCACTAAGGTCAAAGATGATATCCTTGCTGCTTGCCTGATTCAAAGGTGAATACTGTGCTCCCATCCTCCCTGATCTCTCTAACTGCCTTAGACCCAGTTTTTCACCACGTTTCTTGCTTGGCTCCTTCTGTATCCTACCTTCTTCGACTCTGCTCTTAGTCAGTGGAAGATTTCTCGCTTCTCATTGAAAGGGATTATCAGATAGTTAATGAATTTGACTCAGCAAGATGCAATTGTTGTGGGAAAACCAGATGGAAAGTGACAGTAGAGAATAGAAGTGGAAGTCCTGCTAGTGCAAGGATTAGTACTAGCACAATGGGATTTCCCCTCTTCCTCCCTTCACATGCCCTGAGCCATCCCATAGACCAGGGTTTCTCAAGCTTGGCTCTCCATCTGTGTTTGGACTCTCATCATCCCTAGCTAGCAGGACCCGTAGTCAGGGGTGATGGGAATTGTAGTCCAAAAACATATGGAGACCCAAGTTTAGGAAACCCTGCCATAGACCATGCAGTGTGACCTGCTATCCTCCTGCCTCAGGTTCTTGTGCATTATCAAACCATCTTTAGGCAAGTTGGTGTCATCTTTAGTAGGGTAAAGTGGCTGACTAGGGAGTGGCTGATAACTATGTGCATCAGCCTCTCCCTTCATTTCTTAAATCAGCAATGCAGATGTCAAAGGAATGTAGAAAGTAAAGGGAGTGGATTGCAGTATATTCAGGTGGAGAAGAGCAGGTGGATATTGAGTGTGCAATTTGAAGCCAAGGGGGAAGGTGTGGAATGGGAAGGTGGTAGCCCTTGAAAGCACTGGGAGAAGAATAGACCGTTCAGACTGGCAGAACTGGAAGGGGAAGGAGAAGACCTGTTTTGTCAGTGAGGATTTTCGAGGACAAAGCAGGAAAGGGGGCTTGGATGGTGAGGGGTTTAGGGGAAAGGCAGAATCATTGACTGATCAGCAGCGATTTTGGGAGGCCACATGTTGAAAGGGGATAGTGATGGGTATTTGCAGGAAGTAACAACTGTCGCTCCTACTGCTTCCAGTCTAACAAGCCAATTTTTGTTGCAAAACTCTGGGCAAAATATATGTTACAATGATGCTATGCTGTCCAAAGACACGTGGTCTCTGGACATTTGTAAAATACAAAAAATAATAATAGAGCAATAAGAAGCACCCATGAACTTAGCACAACAACATGGCCATTAAGTACCGGGATCTGTGTCCCTGGGAAGTTTGCCTCTGCAGCCGCTTTGTGTGTGATAGCCCTGAAGTAAAAGGATTCTGGTGCAAAGTACAGCCTGATGTTCTTTCTCCTGTTTTTCCTCTCCACCTGAAGGAGCTGAAAGAATCTGCGACAGAGCTTCTTTTTGCTGGGCATGAGACAACTGCCAGTGCTGCAACGTCCTTGATTACTTTCCTAGGCCTTCACCAAGATGTGCTGCAGAAAGTGAGGAAGGAATTGCAAGAGAAGGTGGGTGTTGTCTAAGTGTTTGGAAGTCAGGCTGCACCGTGCATGAAACAGGCTTCTGTGATCCTGTAGACAGTCTTGGAAATGGAGCTGGGAGACTTGGTTTGGAAACCCTGCTGGCACAGATTACAAATGAGTCTGGTCATATTAACAAAGCTATCAATAAATAGGTGGAATGATGCTCAGGTATGATGCTAAAGGGGTTGCATTTGGTGCTGTGGTCTAAACCACTGAGCCTCTTGGGCTTGCTCATCGGAAGGTTGGCGGTTCAAATCCCTGCAACAGGGTGAGCTCCCATTGTTCAGTCCCAGCTCCTGCCAACCTAGCAGTTCAAAAGAACATCAAAGTGCAAGTAGATAAATAGGTACCGCTGCGGCGGGAAGGTAAAGGGCGTTTCTGTGCGCTGCTCTGGTTTCGCCAGAAACGGCTTAGTCATGCTGGCCACATCACCCGGAAAAACTCTGCGGACAAACATTGGCTCCCTTGGCCTGAAAGTGAGATGAGCGCTGCAACCCCAGAGTTGTTTGCAACTGGACTTAACTGTCAGTGGTCCTTTACCTTTACCTTTTTAAGGTGATTTTTCCTTTGTGCAACAGAATGACCTCCCCCAGCTCACCCCTTAAATCTTGTTCTGGGGTTCTCCCCAATCTTCTGGAGCAGATTTGGGTATGGTAATGCAACTATTTAGCTGACTGCTGCCCAAGGTCTGTACTGAATATGCCAAACTTCTGCCGGTCTCTTTGTATATATCTTACTCACTAGAGTGTATATAAAATATTTTCCTTTGTAGAAGTAGTGATATAAAGAGATAAAGATTAGCTTTACTAATTAAAATATTACATTTTTTTAAATATGAAAAAGATATCCTCCGTTTAAATGGGCAGTGTCTTTTTCTAGATGGTTAATGTTTCAAATATAAGAAAATATCACTGGCAGATGAAACGTTTCCTGTTCTTTTAAAAGGGAATTGTTGCCAAGAACCAGGGGCACTGTGTCCCGTTTCACCGCTAGAGGTGAAACAGGAAATGCCACCTTGCCCTGGCACTGCCGCCACTGCTGCAGATGGTGCCCATTCTTCATTCATCCTGCTACCTCCATCAGTGATGGAGAAGCAGTACTGGCATCTGCGCCAATTTCAGGCAAGGTCTCACCCAAACCATGAGATTTCTCCATAAGATCTCCATGATACCGGCACTGCTTCTGGAGGAAGTGGGGCAGGTAAGCCACCTGCGGGGTTCCTGCCTTGAGGGCGTTGCTGCCTGAGGTTGTCTAATGGCAGGGCCAACTCTGCCAGGAACAAATATAATAGTCTCTTATAGTTACATAAGTTTTGTTAACACGCCTCTATCCATATTTAATTGAGTCAATCTCATTTTATTGTGACTGTCATTAATCAACAGATGTCTGTGCCATGCATGTGGTAAACTTTACAGGTGTGTATTTCAAACCGAGCAAGGGTCTCCCAGGCTCTTGGGAAGTACATCACTTGAGTGGCATGTAGATTATGCCAGGAAATATGTGGGCAGAAATCTTTACTAAATATACAAAGTAAACAAAACAACCATTCAGGAAGTGGCAACAAAAGTATGTGTAAAGTAGGCAGGGGTGGAGGAAAGAAGTCAGAATGGAGCTAAAATCTTTGCTTTCACTTTCAGGTGCAAAAGGAAGTGGCGGGAAATGTCATTTTTAACATACCGTTTTAAACAATCTGTCCCTCTCTACAGGGAACTCTGGGAATGGTAGTTCTGTGAGGGGAATTAAGGGGTCTCCTTGCAACTCTCAGCACCCATAACAAACTACAGCTCCCATAATATTTTGTGGGAAACCATGGCTGTTTAATGCGGCATGGATACTGCTTTTTTAATGTATGGCGTGAATGTGACCTAAGCCTGGAAGTTCTGGCTTTGGGATCTTGCTTTGGGACCTATTGCATTAATGCAGATGTTCCTGTAGGGTGTGGGTGCTGGATCGCTAAGCCTTCTCTCTACACTGGTACTCAAGACACATCCTTTGTTTTCAGGGATTGTTGGGCCACATGAGCCAAGAGAAGCATTTGGAAATGGAACTCTTGGAGCAACTGAAGTACACTGGCTGTGTCATCAAGGAGACTCTCCGTTTGAGTCCACCAGTTCCTGGAGGATTCAGAGTGGCTCTCAAGACTTTTGAGCTAAATGTAAGCAGGCAAAGCCCATTTTCATTAAGTCTCCATAACATCTCAGTTCTGCTGATTTTCCATGGAGATCCTTTTTTAGTGCTTAGCATCGCAACAAAATATTTCAGCAATAACTGGACTGCTCATACCATAATAATAAAAAGTACATTTAGAATTTTTATAAGAAGCAAACTTCCAACAGTTTCTGCATGGCTGCAATGCCTTGGGATAAGCTTCATCTGTCCCTCTCTGAAGCAGTTTTGATTCTATGATTGGGGAGACAGAAAATGGTCCTTTTTGGATTATGATGTGGATCTAAGTTACACAGATGTAGTTTCTGTGGAGTCACAGTGTGGGGGGAAGTGGCACCTATTGAAATTGTTCTGTTCCAGAGTGCTTAAGCCTGTTCCTTTTGGTATTGGAATAAGTCAGACATAACTAGCTCTTTTCGTGACATTTGTCATGCCAGAAAAGTAAGTTCTTGAAGCTGTTCTTATGCCTTGGTATGAGGAACTTAGCCAATGCTTGCCTTTCAGTCTGAGCACCATGTGCTCTTGCAAACGTGCAAGAGAGAATTCTGGGAGTTGTAGCTTCTCCAATGTGATGCTAGGAAAAAAGTCTACCTGCTGAAAATATCTGCTATGCAGCTTTACAAAAGGTGCAGGAATACCTGTATGGAACTAGCAGCCCTCTTTCCCCCTTTGATAATAGTAAAGGTGTTGCCATCCTAAGGCATTATGAATTAGGGAGCTATGTTTCACAGAGATTAGCTGTAGCTCTAGAGAAAGTGTGGCAGCCCAAGACATTTTGTTACTTGAGGCAAAGGACAAAATAGTGCTCTGTTTCATGTACCAAGGTATACCAGCACTGACTTTAGTTCTGAGAGAGTCCTCGACCGCAGCAGACGAGCTATGGGGGTGCAGGCCAGGCCATGTGATTCTCAAAGCCCTGTCTGCTCTTCACCCACATCTGCTGCCTTAAGCAGTCATTCCACTCTGCCTAATGGTAGGACCAGCTGTTCCCCGTTTTATACGCATGGTAGCCTCTGAACTTTCTTGGTACTGGTCACCTGTGCCAGGTGTAGGGCAGCTTTGGCCCTCCAGGTGTTACTGAACTCAACCCCCCCATCACTCCTGGCCATTGGCCATGCTTGCAGAGGCTGGTGAGAGTTGTAGTTTAGCAACGTCTGAAGGTCCAAAGCCTAAGAGGTCCTATGTGCCTAGGAAGTGGTGCATGGAATTCATTCTGTCTTCACTGAGTGGATGATCAGCTTTGAACAGTGAAATAAACATATTTTCCATGTGTAGATTACCCTTAGTGAGTAAGGGGATGGCTTGGGTCATCTTGCTGGAGCTGTTAGACAAATCAGAAAGGTGCACTGTTAAATCAATCCTTAGTCTTATAGAAGAAGATGGCCTGTAAATCTATGTGGTGAGTAGAACCCAGACCATGCCTTGGAATCCATTTCCCCAGTGCCATTGTGATGAGGTGCATCATCTTTCAAAAGACATTAATCTCTCATAAACGGCTCCATACATGTGACCCATTGTCTCTGTTTTGTGTCCTCATTCCATCTCTTGTTTCTTGTAGGGCTACCAGATTCCTAAAGGTTGGAATGTCATTTACAGTATCTGTGACACACATGATGTTGCGGAGCTTTTCACCAACAAAGATGAATTCAACCCCGACCGCTTCATGTCTCCTTTCCCAGAAGACTCCTCACGATTCAGCTTCATCCCTTTTGGAGGGGGCTTGAGAAGCTGTGTAGGCAAAGAATTTGCAAAGATTCTTCTAAAAATCTTTACTGTAGAGTTGGCCCGGAACTGTGACTGGCAACTTTTAAATGGACCACCAACAATGAAGACCGGCCCTACTGTGTACCCAGAGGACAATCTGCCAACAAAATTCACAAGTTTCAATGGTCGGGTTTAAATAAATTCCAGGACAGTATCACTGTGATCTTAACTTAAGTTTTGGTGAATTTAAAACATGCACAATGGCTTTTCATAGTGTCCTAAATTCAATATTATATATTTAAATTTATAATGTGTAATAGTTATTTATAAGTGTGTTTTCTAAGAATATTTTTAAAGCTATTTCATGTATTAAACTTTTTTTTTTTTTTTAGGCAAGCACTGTAATTATGAGTCCTTGGGATTCATAAATGGATAATTTTATTTCTATAGAAATAAAGTTTCCTTCTATTTAAGAATCGTACTCAAAGCTTGTTTACTAATTATGCTGAAACCATTTAAGGACCTTTATGTGTATCCAGACACATGGTCAAAAGTTAAATGGAATTATATGTATACTGTGAACCAAATTATGTCATAAATAAAAAAAAATTCTGCAGCTAGAATGTTGGTGTTTGTTTACATTTATATGGGGAATTTTGACCTGCTATGAGAGTGTGTTCAGTCAAGTTAACACCTTGATCCTAAGCAGACTTGACTTGGCAGTTCCACTGAAAACAGTAGAACTTGGTGGAATGTGCTGGTGTTTTAAAGAAGTATGGCCAAAATCAGAGATGGGCCTGGAAATAGATTTGTCCCTCCATCCCTCTTTACTCTCCAGACTGCACCTTGTGCGGGGCAGTTAATTATCTGACCTACTCCATAAATAGTCAGCGTCTAATAAATAAAGTTGACACCACCTTGAAGGAAGGTTATGAGAGCCCATGTGCTCACATGGTATGAGGTCATTGATGCAGGGGGACTGAGGAACTAATGGGCTTTCTGAAAAATCTCTCCAAGAGCTATTTGACTATTTTATTTTTTTGCCGTGTGCAAGAAAGCAACAAAATAAATTTTATCTGAAGACTCCAGACACTCGTCATCACTTTCCTACAAAAGGAAGCTGAGCAATATTTACATGCTGAAAACTTGGTTGAGGGCCAGGCGAGATACATAACTGCCTTAGGGCCAGGTCTGGCTTCCAAGTCATCCGTAGCCTTGACTCTCTGACAGGCAAGTAGATCAACATACTTGGCAAATATAGGCTTGGAAGGTTGGGTTGAATAGTTTGCCACAGGTCACCTTTGAAATGAACTCTTCCCTCCCCTGAAAAACTCCCATTTTGGCTGAGCAGTGTGGCTGCTGTAACTAAAACTCGAATGCACTTCATTGCACTCTTCTAAAGGAGACAAGCAGATGATTGCATAAGATCCAAAACTGGATTGAAAGAGAGACAAGACAGGATTTGTTTATGAAAAATCACTGTGCATCTATCACACAGCAACTTCCTTTTGCAGCTGGAAGCAAATTAAGAGCAAAGTAGGACATTGCTTTTTGCCATAACAGTATGAAACAAAGGCTAGCTCACACCATCACTCTCCCACTCTTGTCCCATGGATGGGTTCAGCTGTAGTGTACGACCAATTAATACAAGCCTATCAGCCATGATCACTCTAGTCTATATGGAACATCCATGGTCAGAGATTGTATACCTTTGAATAGCCATTGCTTGGGGCAGAGCACCAGGAGAGAGCTATACTCTTTGTGTCTTGCCTTCTGGAGGCATCAGGGAAATGGGACAGGGAGACCCTGTTCAAATCCTCGCTTGACTGTGAAACTAACGTACCACACAGGGTTCTTGTGAGGAGAAAATGAGCTGGGAAGAGGACCGTGTATGGCACTTTGAGCTCTTGGAAGAAAGGTTGGATAATTGGATAGGATGTTTAACTTCTGGTTTGACTCCTAAGGTTGAAATGATTCTGTTTCCCCTCCCTCCTGCTGAAAAACTATTAAAGCCTAAAATGAAAATCAAAAGAAATCATTTTGAGGTCAGCTTGTGCTCAAAGGGTGCTGTTCAGTGTAAATTGTCATACAAATAACTAATAGGCAGAGAAGTGAGCTATTTAACAGTGCAATCCTGTACATGCCTACTCAGAAGTATGTCTCTATGCTTTATCTGAGTTTAGCGTGTATAGGATTGCAACCTTCATCTTCCTGGCTCTAGAGTACCCTTCACATAGATACTATTATCTCTGCCCCTCCCGCCCAGTTTGCTGATGTAATTGAAAACCATTCTGCAGACACACTTCTAATATCCTGCACAAGCATGACCATGATGGATAAAATGGCCCAGGAATGACCCTCTGAACCTTGGCTAACCTTAAAGACTTACACATTTGGTCACATTTCTGTCCTGGCTATGGTCATGGCTTTCACTAAGCACCAAAACATTAACCAAGGTAATTCAGTTGTGTCAATAGTAAAACAAAAAACAAAAAAACCCACTCATACACAAAACACCCCACAAACTTTCTCACCATACATCACTTCCACCACACAAATAAAGCACCCACTGTTGAACCTCTGGGTCCTTCTGGATAACTCGATGGATGTGACTTTCCTTTTATTTCTTTTTCAGAGGGAAGTGGAAATTCCCGTTTGCCCATAGAAACTGCAGAAGCCATTCCCCCAGTGTGCATTTCTGATCCTGATTTCAATGGGGACCTGGATTTCACAGAGTGATGGGGGCTTCTTGCAAAGTGCGTTTTTCCTGTCCCGCTGGTAAGCTATTTAGAACACAATACAACCCCAGGAAATCCTAATTAATGATCCGTGCATGTTGCAATAAGTATTTATCTCATACCCCAAATTTAAAGAGATGGGGGTGTTGGGTGGCGTGCATGGTGCTTATTTTTCTCTCATTTCAAATACATTTGATCAGAACAAATCTTGCAATGGAGGTCACTTTTGAGGGTGCTTTTGGTTATGCTCCTTTAGCACTGACTCCCTTTGCTTTCCGTGTAAGCAGTTGCTGTCTTGTACCACTGGGAACAAGCGAAAAGGGAGGGAGGCTGAATATTCTGAGAAGCAGCAGCCAAATCAGAGCCACATCATGTGCTTCTCTTCCTTGTCTGATAGCTTCAAAGGAGAAAGATCATAGCTCAGTGATAGAACATCCCCTTTGTATGCAGAACATCTCAGGTTCAATCCAGACAAGCTAGGCTATGAAACAATGACTGTTCCAAGGTCACCCAGTGGGCTTCATGCTTGAACCCTGGTCTCCCAGGTCCTCTTTCAACACTTTAACAGTTGCTGCCCAGCTCTGCATCTTAAAAGCCAGTCGGTAGCATCTCTTCCAAATACTTCCTGGTTTTCCTTTTCTATAGGGGGCTGCAACTGTTTTCCGAAGCTCACCATTACAATTTTCCCTTCATGCTCCAATACGGCTTAGAAGTTCTGAAATAATTGAAATAGAATCCAACATGGTATTATTTTCATGGAATTCCTTTGCGAAGCTCTGGCAAATATGTGTTTTGATTTGCAAACCTTGCATTTAACAGTTTGTCCCATTTCTTCTATTGTCTATGGATCCAGGTAGTCATCACATCTAAAAAAGGCAGTGTAACCTTTTCCTTAAAACCATCTAGACTGCAGTCCCACGCTCCCTTACTTGTTCTGAGGAGACGCATGTAGGATTGCACTGCTAATTAACAATAGCATTCCAGACTTCGGGAATCTACTAAACTCACCATCACAAACATTTAGGTGTTTACATTTTAGGTATTTATATTTGATCACCAACGTAGTTTGGTGTTCCAGACTGAATGGATCCACTTCACGCAACTGATGAGCTGGGCGCCAGCCAACAAGCTGCAACAATAAATGTGTTTATCTTTTAGATGGTACAAGAGTCTTTGTAGTTTTTGCTCCAATAGCCTAATGCAGTTATCTCTCTAGAATTTATCTGCTAAATACATCACAAAAGCTGATTAGCCCAAGCTGACCCATTTAAGGAAGTTTAAGCATTTTAAGTTCATCACAAATATGCTTGCAATATTGTGTACTTTTAACAACTGTCAAACCCCCATCCCACCACCCAGAAGTGGTTACACTTCAGTGGATAGAATAATTCCTGATTGTAAAACTCTTAGGGATCAAAGGCACTACTTTAAGAAAAGAGGCTATATTTTCCATAGAACACCAAAGGCTGGGAAAGTAAGTGGGAGCTGCGGGGGGGGGGGGGTGCGTGTCTTGGCTGGCGGTCCCTGTTCTAGATCTAAACATCTCCCGCTCCCCACTCTCACATGCAGTGCAAGAAATATACAGATCACTCCTAAAAGGCTATGTTTATGGGCAAGAATCTATTAACATGACGGATAAGAATTCAAGGAAGGTAGTAGACGGCAGCAAGCTTAGAAAAGGCTCATTTCAGGACAGGAGAGCCCAAATTGTTTAACAAATCGGCATGAAAAATGACGACCTGAAGAGCTGTATGAATTATGCAGCCTTCATTGTGGAATGGAAATAAATGCAGCTTTCTCGGATGGGTGTGAGATAAAATATTTAGCAAATCTGTTTGGGTGTGAGAAGGCACAGGAACATCATGACCAGTGTTTAATTACTTCCAAATGATTCTGTTTCAGAGGGTGGGGGGCTGGCAGCAGAATAAAGATCCTTTTGCAGGGCATCTCAAAGCTCCACCCAAAAAAGGAAGTTTGTCACGTGCATCAGAGAAGTGGCATGTGCCAGCAAGAGTCGGGGTGCGCTAGACATTAAAATATATACACATAGCGCAGCCTCACTATATAGGCAGACTTTGAATTAAGAAGAACCTCGCTAGACCATCATAGTCCAACATCTTGTCCTCACAGTGGCCACTGATTAGATGCCTATGGGCAGCCCCCAAGCAGGACTTGAGAGCAACAGGTCTTAATATGTAACCTTAGAGGTCTCTACTTTCTACATCTCTCCATTGGTAATTGTCTCAATAACTGCCCTGTTGAGGATCTTGAAGAAACAACAATTTCCCTTCAGGGAAATAGTAGCAGCTCAGGCAGACTGTGAAACTGTAAGGTTTTTTGGAATGCAGAGACTGGACTTGTCAGCTGCACCACTTCTTCAGTGACTAGATTTTAATGTGCAATTGAAGTTTTCGCTGATGGATCACATAGATTAAAGCTTTCAGCCCTAGCTTGCAGTTGTGGTTGTGCCTGTTTTGTATCAACTGCATAATGGTTTCCACAGAACCATCTCTCTACCTCCCCTCCCCACAATATTTTCTTCATACACACCTATTGGTCAGAATGGTTGGCATCTGAACTTGTTATCTGACATGATTAGAAGTACAATTACTTTTGAGATACAGCCAGCTGATTCCCTTATAGTAATCAAGCCGGAACTTTGGTGAAGCAGAGATGAAATCAAAGGCCCTTTCCCATGACGGTCAAAAAGAACAGAGAGAATTTGGAGAAGTCGTCTAAAGACACGAGCTTATATCAGGATGTGAAGGTCAAAGATCAAAGCTGTTGCCTCTCAAAGGTGAATGTCCTGAGGTATGATAATGAACTATTGATTTAGTGAATGATTTATTGTGATACTTAGAACTTAAACGGTAAAAGTAATTC